CAGGCCGAGTAATAAGCCACCAAACAGAAGTGTTTTTAATTACATGACATTTCCACATACATGCATGTAATTGTAAACTGTTTGACTTGTTTGTAATTGATCTCATTGTTCAATAAATAATTTTTTTGAACTAGAGGCAGAGAGCGTCCAAAGAGAAATGTCTGCTCTGTCGTTGCAACATTTACCTGTATACCCGTAACCCTGTAGCCGTGTAGGTTATGTTGTACCTTAATACATTATTCAGTTGCACGCAGTCTTGCAGAACAGTTCTCTAAATAAATTTGGAGGTAAAATTATTTTCTCAAAACAAGCAAATTAGGCGACCCGTGATGACAGCTTCCTCAATAAAGATTATTTCAATTAAATACACCCTTTCGATAATTACGTTACACATACTTTTTGGTCTTGGAGCCTTGATTCATGAGAGCGAAAGGGTGTATTCAAACAGTTTTAAACGCCGCTTGTCCTTGGCTCGTTTATAGTCAGTGTTTTAAGATTTCACGGGAATTCAACTATCCAAATATTGGATTTTCAGACGTTGTGCACAAAGAAAAAGGTATTAATTAAATTAAACTCGCAATAAAGTCCAGATTTCGACACGATACAAAATCCGTAGAAAACAGGTACAATTCGTTGAAAATTTTAACATTTTGCCCACTCCATGAATGGCCGCCATTTCTAAATAACACTGTACCCATTGAACTGAATATGAATGTACCTGAAACATGCAGACATGTATGTTTCGGTGTTCAACGGTGTGTTCAACGGTGTGTTCAACGGTGTGTTCAACGGTGTGTTCAATGGTGTGTTCAACGGTGTTGAACGCCGAAACATGCATGTCTGCAGTGTTGTTGCGCACTATGTGGAGTTGTTCATGGGTGTCTAATAGCGATAATGCAAAGCTCACTTCCCTTGTGGTCGTTTGAGCACTCTGGCACCATATATATACTTTCATACAGAATGATATAATTAATATTGAATTTAAATACCTAATCCTATCTGGCGAATTGTTTTCTTCTAATACATCCATATCAACAGCTGTATTCTCGTGATGTGCATAGGAATTTTCTTTATCGGGATCAGGTGTGACAAATTCATCCACGAAAGCACCGATAACTTTATTGAAATAGTCCAGTTTCTTCTCTTTCGTCATGTGAACAATTCCTGGTGGTGGCACGTGCTTTGATGGACAATCTGTTAGATTTTGCAATCCCCAAAATTTCATCGCAGCTTCCAGAATATATGCTTTTCCAACACTCAAAAGGAACTGCTCTGAGCCTTCGTAAGAATTTGCGACTTTTTCTGGCGTTACATTTTTGCGATTGTATTTCTCTCTAAAGTATTTCAGAGTTCCCACTTCTCTAACTGATCCCGGCTTGTATAATGAGTTGTATACAAACTACAATATTATGTGAAACAAATTATTAAATAAACTTAAATATAAAGCTTTATAAGTTTGCACAGGTACTGTATGTTGAACATATAAAACCTGTGACCGCTCATTCGGATAATTAGCAGTTATAATAATATTTCTTATTTTCGTGTGAATTGTTTGAATGACCTTCAATAATGCATGACACATTCAAAAATTGGTTAAACAGCATGTTTCTCTTCAAAATTTTCTTGATTTATCTTTTATCAAGATCTTTTTAAAGAATATTTTATTACTTTAAATATTCTATTATACACTCTTTGATATTTGTGACTAAAAAATTATTTTTATACCTGTAGGTATGACATTTTCGTATGGAATAACTCCGACACAAACGGACTGCAGTGATCCAGTCGTTCTTTTGATGTATGTGATCCAGCCCGCAGATCTTTCGCCCCAGCAAATCTAACTCGGGTTAGTTGATCTCCTCCAAATGGCACGGATATCACTTTCATGTGGTCATTTTCATCCACCTTGTTAAAGTGCGCTCTCGGTTGATCTGGTAATGAAGACTGTCCTTCGATTAATGCTGGTTGTGGTGCATTTGGAACCTTTCCTGGTTTTTTAATAACTCCTGCTTTAGCGTATATGTCCTCAACCTCATTCTCATAGTAATCCAGGATATCAACTACATCGCTGTATTTTTTCTCATCTTTCAACTGCATCGGTAAAGGAACAATTACAGATTGCTCAGACATCTCCTTTTGGTATATGTGAGGAATATGATCGGGTACAACACTCTTCAAGAATGATAAACCAGGAATGCTGGATACAATGACTCTTCCAATCAAAACTTTAAAATCTTCTCTCAACTTAATTTCTTCTTCGTTATTCAAGAGAAAAACCGAATTTGGGAGCGTGCGGATATCCCTTCGAGGTGAGGTTGTTGACAGATTTTGGCATGGCACTCTTTCAACGATCAGGTTTGATGCGAAGTAATGTAGATCTTGATTTTGATTGGTTGATCGCATATCATGAACATGTATCTTCATATCCCAGTTGTCGCCGGTGCCTTGAAGTTTTTTCCCATCTTTAACAGCTTCAACTACGCTGTCTGAAAAGTGGTTGCCAATCATATCTAAAATGTTGATTTTGCTCTGATGTGATAAAGAGACACCCATTTTTTGACATTGTCTAAATAACTATAAACATAATATAAAAACATTAATCAACATTACACTATTGCACATCATTATTCAACAGTTATAATGATGCAAAACATTCAAGCCCTTTATACCAGAGAGGAATCATCCGTCAAGACATATATTCCGTAACCAACACGAATTTTATATATATAATATATATATATATTATATATATATTAATAATCACCTATGTATAAATTATACTAATATCAATTAATGTGGATTATTTTGGGACAATATGCATGCATATTAGAGATATTAAGTACCTTGAACACCGGGTTGTCTAAAAAAAAAACCGAGGACGCGTATTATTTTATTTTATAATCGAAGAGGTTTTCCAACAATGTTTTGCCTATATTTCGTCGACCTTGGACAAACATATTGCTATATATTTCTTCATTTTGTATATAATTTATATTCACATGGCTTTATGCTTTATACAACACGCGATGTATCAAATAAAACCGACTCGATTATAAAATAAGTGATGTAATAATAGATATCTATAGTATTTTTATGGTCAGTCACAACTGAAAGTTGAACATTAAACGCACAAAAACGGTAGTGTCTTAACAAAAACCTTTTGGAGACAATTACTAATTATGCTTGAATATTTATAGTTAAAAAGCGTGTACTATACTATATATATATATATATATATATATATATATACACGTGTGACGTTATCAGTTATTAAACATACTTCTTTCTTTGCATTTCCATTCGTCAGCAATACAGTGTTCAGTCGTTGGACCAAACTGAGATCCTTATTTCTTGTCTGCATTAAAATGGCATAACAAAGACCAAGTCGTGGGATAATCTCAATACATTCTTCTTTTGACTTGTCCATGACTGTAAGGAGAACGTCTAGCAAAAACGGACACCGTATCGACATTTCTGATGACAATTTTTGCCACTCAAATCCAGCCATATTACAAAATTTGTTTTTCCGCAATTCAGATGGTTTGCCCCTCAAACAAATGTTTTTACACTCATTGTCAAGTTCGTGTAGAATACTTTCCTTGAGGTTACGTATCAAAGAAGGAACGGATTCAATTGCATGTGTAATAATTGATGGTACGCCAGTGTTTATCGCGTTGTGAAGCTTGGTCTGGTCTTGCGTTGTCAATGAATTTTCAACAGATGTAGTCAATTCCTATAGGTTAATATAATTTTATGAAACATTACTGAGATTGTGGTAAAATAGTTTGCAAACATATATGCTCATAGACGTGCAGTTCCGCGTCGGATTTAAAGTGCGACTATAGGCCTACCACAAATGATATTTGGTATGTGTAATATGTATGGTGTGCCATGATCTATAAAAATATAAGGGAATGCTTTGGCTAACTTAGGCCTGTTTTATACGACGCATTTTGGTCGCGTCGAACGCAATTAAGATAATAGATAATGAGATGATCAACCTCATTAAGCTTCATTATCTATTCTATTATCTTATTCGACGCGACCGAAATTCGACGTATAAAACAGGCATTAATTGTGACGTAATTTCGTGCGTCTGTCATCTAATAAATCGTGGCTCTCGACCAATGAAAGCGCTTGAATTCTTACCCTTATTATATAAAAAGATATTACATTTCTTATTACAATGACTATTATACGAAAACCAAAAATTATATTTGGGGCTAGTCGCACTTTAAGTATGAATATAATATTTGGTAAAATAAACACAAGGTCTCTTGCACGGTCTCTTATATCTGATTTGTTGGTCGTATAGGATTGTAGGTCGATTTTCGATGAACTCGTTGATTTTCGAATCAGCTAAAATTGTTGAGATACGATAAATTAAGATACATTGTGTTCTTTCCCTATAGTTTGAAAAAGCATTCAATGTAAAACATGGCAGGATTTTTCTTTTTATCCAGTTTTCATTGGCACCTATAATGTTATTCCCCTTTTCATTCTTGGGACTTGTCCTCATTAGACTGAATAAAATATAACGCTGTCGTTGCTGTTTTCAAAGTGTTTCTTCACACCGTCGTACAATGCCCTTGGGTTTAAAAAGGTTGACTATCTTGCCGGAAAGTCTTTGAGGGTTCCGGTGAATCTCTGTCGCTCTGGATATAACTGACGTTTATGCATGAAATTAAAGGTTCGCAATTTGTTCGCAAAAGATGTACAAAAAATAAAAAAGTTATACATTAAAGTAATGTCCACCATGCACATAGAATTTAAATAGATTTACGAATTATATATTCATAATTACGTTAAAAGTAAAGCAACATGACGGACTGCCACATAATAAATACATATACAGAAGGTCGACTATATTAATCGCTACCACGCCACGATTCATCATCATAAATGCTGACGCCATGGGCATAGCCAGTGCGCTTATGAGAGGCGAGCTTAAAGGCCGTTTTCCACTAGGCGAATTTTTTCGCGCGACGCGATTTTTATCGCGCGAACAGGTCACGCGATGAATGTTTGCAATCTCCACAGCGAGCGGCCAATAAGCGAGCGCGAACAAGCGACAAAGTAACAAAACAAGTAAACAGGAAATGGCTGCCTTCAATATACGATGGTTTTTAAGGCGCAAAATACTTACTTTGTTGCTTTTAAGAAAGAGAAGGCAGCGCTTAAAATATAGGAAGAGATTCTGGGTAAGGAAAATATACCAAGAACGACAGGCGAAGGGAGAATATCACATTCTTGTGAAGGAATTGATGCTTGGCGACCCAGAATACTTCTTTCGGCTCTTTAGGATGTCGCCCGGCACTTTTGAGCTGCTATTGACCTGGGTCGCTCCTTTAATAACAAAAAAGTCCACCAGAATGCGAGAACCAATTCCTCCAGAATGATGTATAAGCAAGAATGATGTATAAGTTATTAAACAAAATGAGCCCAAAATCACTCACAAATCTATTTTCGTTTAAGAGTGAGAAAACTAATTACCACCTTCGGGATGTCTCAAGTGGTCTTTATTTACCAAAACCACGTACAAATAGCATGAAAAATAGTTTTATGTACGACGGAGCAAACATTTGGAATTCTATACCAAAAGAAATTAGGGAAAGCAAGACACTTTCTTCCTTTCGAAATAAAATCACTGCTCACATTAGTGCTTGGTAACCTTTGTAAATATAATTTACCTGTAAATAGCTCAAAACATTTGTTATATCTTTTAAATTTATATATTACTGTAATAGCTTAGCTTATCCTTATCATATTCTGCATGTAAAATAATTTTCTGGCACACGCCCCCCGTGGAAATCAGCTACGGTTGACGGGGTCAGCGTGGATAAATAAAGTTCTACTACTACTACTTGGGAGGAAAATTCAACGCTAAATATCGGAGAGTTCCATTCAGTGAGCAGTTGCTAAGCGGCGTAAGCGCCACGAATAGCACGAACTACAGTTTGACTGTTTGAGTAGAAGTATTGGCGCCGAGACCTTTATTCTGAAGTGCAATAAGGTAAATTTAGTGTGATATGTAAATTTTATTTCGATATAGACAGCATAACAATATTTATAAGCGAACAAGATGCGCGCCATGCATATGTAAAATTGTAACTTGAATACGCGTATCTTGATTTAGATTTAGCTTTGAAGTTTGATTTACACAACGAATTTGCATATTTGTAATTCTGCGGTTGAAGGTCCGTCAGAACTCAGAAGGCTATTAATATGGAGGATAACCTATATAAATGCATTAATGCAGTGTACATAGGATATAAAGGTCAGGTTTTATAGATGAATGTTACGACTTTAATATTGGTATATCATATATGTTTATTTGAGTAATATGACACTGTAGTGATTACTATAGTCAAGTGATCAATGACTCAACAAGACTATAAGGCAACAAAAATTAGTGTAGTACTATCATGAGCTAGTTAAACATAATACTAGCAATCCGTAATTTGATAAAATGAAACATCTTCGACAATTATCACATTTCTTCAAGTACTTCTCCTTTACTTTTCCCTAAGGAGCGAGTTGTGAGATAGTTGCTATAATATTATATCTCCCATTTCAAGAAGTTAATTTTTTGTTGAAGCTGCTTTCAGAGTGATGCAAATTGCGTTTCGGAGGTTTAAAAATATAAAAATTCCTGGGGAACAGACCCCCCTAGGTGCCTCGCACATTCGCCGCCCGCAAAACTAGATTGTACATCCGAAAACTTTGACTAACGTACGAAAAATCCTGGATCCGCCCCTGCAATCTTTCATGATATCCATCTTGCCGACTTATCGCAAATGTAGATAAATATATATGTGCGGAGTTTGAAATCTTAAATTTCGTTAACAAATGAGCTTGCTTTCTTATGTTTTGAACAGTAAAGAATTGACAATTTTGTAGGTCCGATTAATGTTAGGTTTTATTAACATGCGCTCTGAAATATCTGAAAAAATCTACTTTTGAAAGTTTATAAGTCTACTTTTGAACGATTGAATACAGTTCAATGTAAGACCTGATTGAAACCCAATCCAACGCCGAATCTGAGGCGTAATCTGAAGTCTAATCAGCGGCTAACCTCAAGGTGGTAATAAAAGTGTCATTGGAATTTTTGATCGAGTAATAAACACCAGAATGTAAATGTCGTTATAAAATAGACGAATTTAGTAGATTTTTGGTTGGTTTGGGAAGCGGAATACGAAATCAGAGGCCCAGTCTCGCAGGTTAATAACGTCAAGGCGGTAATATTAAAAAAATGACATTGAAATACAGATCGATTTAGCGTGAATAGTCGATACATTTGGCGTTCGACAATAAATACTATATACACCCAAATTCTGTGATAAAATAGACGAAGTTAAAGCATCTTTGGTTGGTTTGAAAAGCGGAATACGAAGCAAACGTGTGAATTCACCGCGCATACTTTATACGCACCAAATATATCCGTTTCACTTATTAAAGCATGCACGCTAGTTGAATTCGTGTTTATGTAGCCTCTCGATCTTGTTATAATTCCCTCAGCGGCAGTTTCATTAAATGGTAATAACTTCATCGGTACTTGAGCCAACGTATTCATTAGTCTACCAGAAGAAATTTTTAATTTTTTTTTTTTAATTTTTTTAATTTTTAATTTTTAATTTTTTAATTTTATAAACTTCGTCACAATATAAATTACATATCTAAATACTATAATGACTATAACACATTCCGAGCCATCCTTACATGTATCGTTTTCTAGGACAAACAACTGTTAAACCATATTAAAACAGACTAAAACAGACATGAAAACCGTAGATGCAATATAACCCGAAATGCACTATAGATCTAACAATACAACAATTTACAACAATTGTGACAGGGTATTCACGACAGCTTTTGGCCAATTACTGTGATCCCATTAGACAACAAACAAATTATCTTAAACTATACAAAGCATTCACATTGTCTCTTAAAAAATTATCGTTTAAAAACAGCATGCAAGAGGTTTAGTGAGATCATGAGTCTGATTACACTTTAAACAAATTGTTTTCCACGAACGAGGATCATCTATGTTATAATTAAGTTGTAAAGCAGAGAGGTAGTAGTCAAGTAAATATTTTTTAAAGGTATATAAAGAATTAGATTTATTAGTTATAAGTCTTGGTAAAGTATTCCAGATCCTTGTTGATCTGATTGTATATGACTGTTGGTATGTCGCTGTATAGCATTTCTTCGTGCGGAATTGGAGACAGTTTGGTTGAACAGATCGTGTTGTTCTAACGTTCAGATTTTGCGTAGGAAGGACTGATCTCGGAAGATTTATGGCACCACAACTTACTTTAAATAAAAACATCATGTCCAAGTACTCGTGCCAATAGCTGATGGGAAGAAGCTTCAATTTCTTCAGTCGTTGCTCGTAACTGGCTTCACAAAGAAAAGGCAAGCCAAGGATGTATTTTGAAACACGCCTTTGTACTCGTTCTAATCGGGAGATGAGCTCAACGGACTGTGGTGACCAAACTTGCGTTGCATAACCGACTTGAGATCTTACAAGAGTAAAAGCACTGACCACGGTAGAGTTATATTGGATAAACTGCGTCTCACTGGATCGTACATCGATACTTGAGCCAACGTATTCTTTTGTCCACCAAACGAGTACACGTCCTTGCCCGCGCAGAGTTATGTTTGAATAAACTACGTCTCCCTGAATCACATATCGGTACTTGAGCCAACGTATTCCTTTGTCCACCAGAAGAGTAAAAAGCGCTTGACCGCGCTAGAGATATATATTTTGAAAATCTTTCGATACTGTTACTCTGTCGACATCTCATAGTAAGGGGTGAATAAGGGTATACAAATCCGCCGATTTTGGAGCAAAATCCGCGATCCCAGGCAAAATATTAGATAAATCTGCGATCTGCTGTATTAATAAGATCCGAATCCGTGTAAAACATTCGCCAGATCCGAATTCCGGACAATAAGTGTACCTTTTCAAATAAAGCCTTTGTTGGAATTTGAATGCCTTACTATGCTGAACCCATGCATGCGTGAAACAGAATAGAAGTGATATAACTAATTAGTAATTTGATAATACTTTCTTGAAATGAAATTATTAGTAATTTGTAATTATGGACATCACATAAATTATATATAGCTTTCAGTGTTTGACGTCATTATGAGAAAGGTCTAACGCAATGGTTGGAATTATTACGGAACAAAGCACTTAATTAAACATTTTTTTATTTTTAGGTGGTGACATGAATAATGAATTGTCTCAAACTAAATACCGATTTGTTATCAGCAAATGAAACTATTTAACTATGCACATTTGTCTTGAAACGCTCTTGGACATGGAGTGCTTAAGAGCTCTGACGAAACGGATGTTGTCAAGTGGCTAAGACGTTTTACGTAAACTTGCAGCAACCTTGGCATTGTTCTTCCTCAGCTTTACTGCTGCATGTTATCTCAAGGACGAGGATTAAAGCATGGCTAGGTGCCGATCACATTGGATGCTGTTTGCTCTTCTACTCGCTGGTATACCAAGACTGTGCTTAGCTGTATGTTGTGGTAAGATGTAGTGTGACGAGACTTACAATAGCCAATTCCAGCCATCGGAACGCATGCCGGGAAAAGTGATTATTATGTTGCATTTTTCGACAAATGGCGGTGGCCTTTTACTGCTTAATGTTTCGCACTATAGTCTGGTTTAAAAGTTAAATTTTTATAAGAGGTGGTGAGGGAAATTTGACATATGTTTCCGTGGAATATGTTCAATAATTCGCGAAAATAATTACATCGAATTGACACTAAAGCCTGGCGCACGCGATGCGATTTTAGTCGGCCGATTAAAATCGTTTTACTAAAACTAACAAAATCGTTGTGTGTGCGGTGTTATTTGTAACCGATTTTTGTTGCTCGATTTTAATCGGACAACATCAAAACGTTTTGATATTATACGATTTTTATCGGTGGAATTTTAAGTATAACCAATGCTGTGATCACGTGCTTGTATTTATTTGGCAACATGGCGGCTACAGTTCAATCGTGTTCAGAGTATACCGATGGCAAAGGGGCTGGCCTCCAAAACTACTCTTTCACACGTTTGGAAGTAAATATAGTGATCGGTAATAGAATATATTTGACCATTTACACCTTGAAATAAAGCTCTTTGAACAAGCATCAGGTTAGATTGACTCTTTTTATGTACGTATTTCTAACGTACTGCTTGATTTCCACGCACAACCAGTAGAATCACAATTTTTTAGCCAACATGCATGTTGCCAACATTTCCTATGAGGCACTGCTTCACTTCTTTACATGCTTTGTTCCGAAAACAAAAAGGGTTTACTAGCAAATTTATTGTTGTTTCCTAGTACTATCGACTATAAAGTTCTTTTCCTTGGTTGTTGACTTTTTCTAAGCAAAAAAATTTTGGTTGTACCATATGTGTTTATAAAGCAGTCCTAAAAATTAGGTGTTGGTTGCTATGTGTTTATAGTTATATTATTTTAATTTTTTTTAAATTTTAATTTTACAAATTTGCCATTATTAAAGATATAAACTAACTATAAATTACACGCAATGGCTGGAATGACCACACAGAGATAAAATCTCCAATAACGGGGTTCCACTTACATAATATTATATATTACTCTGCCAAAAATACGTGAATAGCTTTGGGTTAAATACAAAGCCCTTTGTCCGCTGTCTCCTCTAAACATTGAATTGCAGGAAGCTCTTGTTTTACAGATTCCCCTAGGTTGTTCTTAGTACACTGCCCTGTCCCTATACACACACAGTGATCATATCACTGTTTATAGCAGGTGTTCATAGAAACAGGTAAGATAGGCATGCATGTATCTGCGCAAACAAATTGCATGGCTGTTTAATTAAATTAATTTAATCTAAAAAAAACCACACTTATCGAAAACACAACGACCCGGACTGCGTTTCACTTTCCGCATGCCTGGCCTTTACCGGCGAATACGCTAACGGCTAGCTCGGTAAAGGCTAGCGCAGACAAAAGTTTTTATATAAAACATTTTCCGTGTTGATATACAGCAGGGCGAAAGGAGAGAGGGCGTAGAAACGGCCATACATCGAGCGGACCCATCCGTGATGCGGGCTTCGCGGGGGGTAAGACGTTCTAATTGTAAACAAATATGGCTACGCGTATATGACCCATCAGAAGGTATGCTGAAACTATTGCTTTATAAAATATTACTTGTGTAAAATTTATATGTTTTTGTTACTTTTAGCTATTATAAGAAACTTAAAGATAAGATTTAAGTAACCAAAAACTTTATTTCGAGTGTTATTTTATTTCTATACTCTGTTTAATTTGGTGTTTAAAAATGGCCGTCGAGATGTTGTAAGAGAGGCCTACTCTGGGGCGGTAAATCGCCTTAAATCGCCCTAAATCGCCTAAAATCGCACTAAATCGCGGGTTAAAATTGTCAAATTTCTCCTAGATCGCCTAAAATCGCCTAAGATCGCTTAAAATCGCCAACAAGAATTCTGCTTGATACATTCAGTCCATGTACTCAAGTTTATCAATTGCTGCTATTTTACGGGCAAATCATGTAATCCAGGTGCTTTGCAATGAAAGTAAAGCAACATGAATTAGCAATCAAATAAGTGGATTAGGCTGACAATATTTGGTCACTCAATAGGCACAGGTCATTGACAAAAACAGAGCCTTTTCTGCTTTATGCAGACTTTACAATAATTAGGTAATTCTGGGTTCTGAAAGACCCATAGATCCGATACACTGCAAGCAACAAAATCGAGCTAGTTACCAGAATGAGCTAATTTCATTATTGGTGTAAATGGAGGCTGGGCTACAATTTATATGGACTATGGAGGCTGGGCTACAAATTAATCTATAATCTAGCTACATTGCTGTTGAGCCTGGTTCACATGTCTGCGATATGCCTGCGACGTCATTGTTTACAGCTGTTG